TATACACACACACAATATTTGCACGTCTGTTATATGTAAATGCAAGATTTTTTCTGGGTCAGGGAATTTGTTGTTGTAGGTGCTTATATAATATTTTAGAGCGGACTGCACGTTGAATGTAATGAATGTTACCAGTGGGATGAGAGGCCTGCTGTGTGGTTGCCATGACTACTCCCAAGAGTTCAGAGACAGCACAGCGCACTTCATAGTTAGAACCTTCAAATGATCGGAAGCAGAGAGATGCAACAGTCTCCAAATCAGAGGTATACAGAAACTGAGAATGTTTGATCATCTCTTGCAGGCACTGCAATTAAGAAACAGTTAATAACAGTTATAGGAATAGTTTTGTTTCATTTTATTTTGTTAAACTAAATGTTTTAAAATTTATTCTTCAAAAAAAATTTTTTTTACAGTTTTTGAAATGGAAATTTGGCAACTTACCAAAGTGAGAAAAACTGCAGGAAAATTTTTTCATATTTATCTAAAAAGTTAGTCTATAGTTGAAGTCTATAGTTAGTATCAACTGTCAAAGAAAATTTTATTTATTTATATAATAAATTTATTTATGTAACTTATTTAACTTGTAGAAAGAATCAGCTCTTCCCATACCAAGTTTTTTGAAGAAGAAAAAAAGAAAAAAAATCAACATATTCTTTTATTTCATTATTAATAAATACAAAGGAACTAAAGCAAAACATAATACACAAAATTTGGGATGAATTTTTAAATTTTTTTATGCGTAAAAATTATTTAATTTACCATCAGTCTACTATTCTGATCTATCTCGGGCAAATGAAAAAAATTTAAATATCAGTCTTTGTAGGATGGTTTTTAAAACAAGGAACAACACAAAGTGATAATTTCAAAACGCTAGTTTAGTTGTTTATTCTTTTCTTTCTATGTAAATTCAGTAACCATCATATATGCACAACTCACGCACACAAGTATATCACACAAAGTGTGCAGTCCCACAATCCAACAGCAAAACTCCAAAACAAATTTTGGCAAATTTCCAAACACAGCAATGTTTTGTTTGCTTCCAGCAGAGTAAGAATGCGATAAAACAAAACTGAAAAATTCTGCTATGTCCGAGATTGCTCGAAAATTTCTGACTTTTCTAAGACCAATTTTATAAAATTTCTCTGATTTTTGTAAACAGGAGCCTAAATTTTATTTTATTTAAATTATAGCTTATTCTAATACATAACATGCAGTACAAGACATTTCATCTTTGTTTTGATGAGATGTATGACTAAGCTTAATCTAACACCACTGAGAAGGGATGCATTGAAATTATTTGTGTCTCTTGTGTTTCAGTTTTTGTGTAAGATTTTGAAGTAATAATTTATTGATTCTTTTTGTTTCACTCTGAACAAAAAAACAGGTATTCAATTAGTTTAATAATAAAAAATAATTACAAATACTGTCAAACTCCGCTAGAGTAAACCTTCAAGGGTCCGAAATTGCAGTTCACTATATCCATACTGTAAACAATTTTAACTCATTTTTTCATACTGCTCCCTTTTACGACGCATTATTCAAATAAATGACCCATAAAAAGAAATACAAAAATTGTTATAAAACAATATGTATCAACAAAAAATGTGCTAACTTTTATTATTTAAGACTCTTCGTCTTGCGTACAAAAAATTTAGGGGTGGCTTTTATTAAGGTATGGAATACTGAGATAGAAGAAGCAAACAAGAAAAAAAAATGCTTATAGCTACATTCCAAGCAAATAGATGGTTTCGAAAATCGGTATATGTATTTTATGTAGAAATTTCAAAATTACTAAAAAATGAAGAAGAAGAATCAATCGCAGACAGAAAAAAGTTTATAATATCCAATTTCTTCACCTCTTTTGGTTCAGTATAACTACAAAAAATAATATTATGCGTCTGTAGCAAGGCACGGGAATGAACATTTCGTTCACTATATGACTGTAATTAAAAAAATATTTACAATGATTAAATGAATGAACAAATACGATAAGGACATACCTTGGCAGCAGCACAACGCACAGTCATCACTCTGTCAGTCAAGCAATGTTTCAGAGCTTTAAAAATATCTTTATGAACAGAAGTGGCAGCATTACCCAGACCTGACACAACTTTTTCCATGCTTATCATTATCTCACATCTTGTTTGAGACTAAAAAGAAAATTCATTGATATTTCTTTATTATGTGCCACTTAATTTATGATTTATTTTCTTCTTTAAAAAAATAATCTTTGAGACCGTAGTAATTTCATTTTAAACTAGAGAATTATAGAGTGTAACTATATATCCTATTGAGTTATTTTATAATTTTATAACTGTAGTCAAACAGCTGATCCAATTTTATGGGTTTAGGACTACTAATAATCAACTCCGTAGCCCTGTAATTTTGAACCCCACCCAGAAGACAAGGGAACTCCTGAATTGAGTACTGGGAGAAATTTGCCTTCGTGGAGGACTTTTTTTAATGGAGCTAATCAGCATTTGCATTACATGGAGAGGAAGAATTTTTTTAAAAAATTAATAAATTAAATAACATTGCTGTTAGCATTTTAAAACGACTTTGCACTAGCATTGACTGTTTTCTAGAGTTAAAAAATTTAATTGAACTTTAAAATTTCATGTTTCTGGCACGTCCCAAACAATGTTTCCAATAACAACTAGATTCAAAACTTCCTATAAATTTTTCAGTATTTAATTTTTTTTATCTCACCCGGTGTAAACATTTCTAGAATATACGCAGAGTTATATTTACAAAAACGCAGAATTTATGCGCAGAATTTATATACGCAGAATTTATTTACAAAAACGTCGTTTAAAAAAAAAATTTCTGTCAATAATTTGTTTGTCCCAAGAAAATCTGTCATTTTCTTGGCTACTTTTATTTAGTGGTTTATTACCAAAATATATAGAGCCAGCAATCAATATCTTATATTAATAGATTGATTAGATACCCTCCTATATGAACATGTCTTGTTGCATGAAAAAAGGACCAATTTTTTGGTCCAAAATCTATTTCAAAAAATTTTTCAAGGTGAGTAGGTTTTTGTGTTGTCATTTTCCTGGCTTCTTGAAATCATTAATAACATAAACTACATAGATTTATCTGAGTTATTTCAAGAAATCCTGTTATTTTCTGCAGAATAAAAACGTCTTAGGCCAAAATATTAAATCAAAGTTATATGCTATAAAATGGCGAATTTGTCATTATCCTGGCTGTCATTTTCCTGGCTTATGAATGCCAGGACATTGAAGAGTTACCAGAAATTTAACTGCTAGTACAGTAAGGAGGGAAGCAAATATTAACCTAATATCAAGTTTATGCAAGATTGTAATATGCTTGGATGTAATCAAAGTTATTTATTTATTTAATGATTGATTATTATACACAATTTTATTCTATACAAATCAGCAACAAAATTTTTTTAATTCTTTTTACAGTGGATAAAAAGAATTAAATTAAGCAATTTATGGTCCATCTAACATAAAAGCTTAAGTTGAGTTACTTACTATTAACTTAAAATGACTGCTTTTTAAACTTTTAAGCTAATATGTGATTTTTCTGGCATGCAAGATTTGATGAATTTCTATTTTAATTTTTTTCTCGAGCAAATGCTAATAAACTACACTGCTGTCTGTAACATATTAATAAGTGTAACTAAAGAAGTATACAAAAAAAAATTTTAGATTATTTTGAAGACTTTAAATTTGAAGAAATTTTTTGGTCCGAATTGTCATGTTTAAAAAGAATCACCCATACATCCTAAGTGACATAATGGCACTCAAAATCCCTTTTTTAGGAGTGTTTTTTTTTTAAATCTTTTCAAAAAATGATTGGGAATAAAATAAACTTTATATGCTTAAAATGTTAACTTCTGATGTGCCACCAAATAACTGTCACGTGTCATACATTCACCATCCTGAACGAAGGGGTCGTTTAAATATTACTTAAGCAACTAATCAGACGGAGATGGTTTGCTTATTTTTGCTGATGGGGGTAAAGAGAGAGTAGGCATGAAACTTTTGCTATTTTTAAAACTTTAATAAAAAGCAACATAAAAATGTTAACTTGTAGAAACATTTTAAATTTGGAAGAAATGTTGAATTGGGGNGAGATAATATAATTCAACTTAACAGGTAAAGAAAGAATTTAAAAAGTGTTGAACATAAAAAAGAGAACAAAAAAAATCCTAAAAAATATTCTACTCAAAATTTTATACAATTATATGAAACATTAATTTAGTTTTGTGCAAAGTTACAGATTTTAATTGAATTAGTTTCCTTAACAAAAGTCTTAAGTTTATACAAAACCCAGGGTAGAACTTCAAAGGAAGAGGGGTTTTTTCTCATAAAGGGGTTCGTATTTTGCTGACAAAAGGGGGGTGGGTCCAAAATTCAGGGATAATTGTGACACAAAGTGAAAAACACAGAAAGTTTTGTATGAAAAAACTTGATATCAAAAGGTACATGAATTTGTGTTTCATACATAATTAATATAATTTTTTGAACTACAATTGATAATTAAATTACCTACTAATTAAGAATAACACACCTTTAAAGTAACTAATTTAAGAGAAAAATCTAGTGCTCACAAGGATAGCGATATTTACTTTTGAAAACGTGCAAATGTGAATCACGACGTTGGATTTTAAACTCTCTTGAATACTTATTGTGATATTAGTTTTTAAAAACGCATGGGATGAATCGCGATATTAATTTGATAAAGGCATGAATACAAATCATGATGTCGGATTTTTAAATCACAGAAATAGTAATTGCACTTTCAAATCAGATAAATATGAAAATCAATGTTTGCTATCAAAAAAATATGAATTGCGATCTTGAGAAGATTCCTGCACAGATCCAAATATTCAAAATAGCGAAAATTCATCAAACCAAAAGAATCAAATAGGAAGACTTTTGCAAATTGACGATAAAACCACATGTATGTAAACATCTGATGAACAAGATTTAACAAAAGTTTTGTTCTTGTTTAGTTCATTTAGATCACAATAGAGCTGCACAATGGGCTATTGGCGACGGTTTATAGTGGTTCATAGCTCTTCTACTGTATTAAAGTTATACTACCTGTCAATGGTAAAACTTCCTTAGCTTCAGAAAACTTTTAGTATTGTACAAATATTTAAAGAGGAAGCTTTTCAGAAATAATACATTTCTATATATTCCATGCAGTGAAAATCTCAAAACTGAATTAAGAATGACATGAGAGAGAGAGGAAAATACATACATCAGCATTCTTTAATGATTTCAAAAGAATATGCACAGTTTCTTCATAGGAACGTCCAGTCATCCTTCCCAATTGCTGATACATTGTTCCCAAGCAAGTGATGGCAGCTCTGTAATTAAATGTCCTTTAATTACAAAATTAATCCTTTAATTAAATGTCTTTTAATTACAGCTCAAAGGTAAGATATATAGAGGTTTATACTCTATTTTCAGCTTTATACTCTTTGTTAATAGATTTTGTAACTCAAGTTTACATAATTTCCATACTTTTCCCCTATTAGTTACCATGGTTTTCAGCCAATTTCTTTTTCTCTATTGTAGTAATTTTCAGTAAGAGGCTGTGATATACTTGCTTGAGTGAAAAAGCAAGATTTGCTGAAACCATGGAATTGGAGAGGGGAAAAGTGGAGAGAGTGAGAAAATCTTGTTACCTAGAGGCACCGATTTTCTTTACAAAGAGTATAATATCTATAGTATTAATAGAATTGGCATTATTTAAATCCCTTGATTTCTCTTTAAAAAAATAATTGATAAAAATCAATTGATTTTTTAAAAAATTTAATTTCAAAAATTTTTTTACACAATATAATTTATAAGCCTATTTGAAGGTTGAAATCTTTTTTTAAATCTGATTTTATTGATAACAGGTGCTTTATCTAGAGAAATAATGAAAGAAAAATGCTTATTAATTGTTATTTGATGTTCAAAATAGAACAATAACTAAAGAAACTAAATATAGATAAAAAGTGGCATAAAACTTTAAAGTTATAAGTTTCCATTAGCTATAGGTCAAATAATTAGATTTCAAACATGTTTCACTTATATCCATTAACTTTCATGTTTATTTAAATGAAAGTACTTTTAAAAATTATTAAAACTCATTAACTTAAATATAGTTAGTGCATACCAATAATAAAACTTTTAAGTTATAATTTTTCTGTATGTCAAATAATTAGATTTCAAACATATTTCACTTATATCCATTAACTTTTGTGTTCATTTAAATACAAATACTCTCAAAACTTTTTAAGACTCATTAAATTATAAAATACATAGTTAGTGCATACCAATAACTTGGAATATTTATTTTCATCAATGTATTTTGATCTAAATTAATTTATTCTTCATTGGATATCTAACCAACAAATAGCTACTTCTTTAAAATTTTAGAATATTTAGCTGGAACAAAAAAAATCCTGATTTTATTTATTCAGTGATAAAGTAAGGAGGGAAGCNTTTTAAGCATTTTAGTTAGATGAAGTGGCCAGCACATATAAAAATAAATCTGACTTAAATTTTAAAAAATAAATCCCATTTAAATCAAATAAATTAGATTTTGACTTTTCGAAATAAAAATCATAATTTTTGCCCGCCCAGCAGTCCCCAATTATTATTTTTTACCCCTTAAAGAGGAAAGAAATAATAATTATAAATAATAATAATAAAAATAATGAAGAGGTAAAAAATAATAATAAATACATAGCTGCCAACATGAATATGAAAAATCCAGTAGATTTTACAAAATTATATAAATTTCCTGACAATTGTTGCATAATGTACTAAATTTTTCATACAGAGGGAATTTCAGCGATTTTTACAGTCACCAAAGTAGAAAAACTGCACTATTTTTCAGTTATGATTGACATTAAACATACTTGAAATGTTATATATTACGCTTATACTCATAATTTCGAATATTATTGTCATTTAATTCCTCAAAGATAGTCAAAAGATGTTTTTCATTAATTTAAAACTAGTGTTCTAAATAATAATAAATTGAACATTTTAAAACAAAAACAAAAAAAGTTTTAAACCGATTTCCATAAGTGAGATTCACTTCATTATGTATTAGTAATACTAATGTAAATATTCTAGCAATAATCTGTACAAAAATTCTATTTCAATAGGTTGTTTTTTTTATGAAACTTACTAAATTTTAAGAAATTTTCAAAAAACAGGAGAATTTTAATTAAACCAGTAGAACAGGAGAAACTGGCAAAATTCAGTAGTCTACTGGATCATCCAGTAGAATTGGCAACTATCAGGGGTCTGTCCAGACATTTTCTGAAAGGTCGTGCTTTGGTAAAATTGTGAAAAAATTAATCATAATTTGTGAATATAAAATAAACGTTAAGTCATATTCGTTGAACCAGGGTCCTGTTTTGTGAATTTGTGCAAATAGGGTCCTGTTATTGCAAAAAACTTTTTCAATGAATTTTTAAATTGTGAATAGATACAAGATTATGCTCAATACTGTAAAATTATAATACAAAAAATTTACATTTTCAAAAATAAACAGCAATTGCTGCTACTAAATTAGAGATGCAACATACATATATTTTGATACTTAGCCTATTCTGCTGAACGCAGAATATTCATTTCAAACGAATAATGGAAAAAACGTCTGAAGACAAAACTTAATTCGTTTACATCATCTTTCTTTTTTTCTGCCCTGGGAAGGGTTTATTCGAACAAAACAATAATGAAGATAAACAAATTTGGGAAGGGTCCGATTAAAAGATAAATCATTTTCTGAAAGATAATCATTTTGTGGGTCCGTTTTTAAGTTAAAATATTTTGTGAAGAGCCCGTTTTAATGAAAAGATATTTTGTGCAGGGTTCGTTAACGGACCCAAATTTCCTCTAAACAGACGCCTGGCTATGTAAATATTTCAGTTTACTTAAATAAATAAAAAAAAGAAGAGACTTACAGCTTTGTTTGAATGAAGCTTGGAGAATCGTCCTTGTTCTTTGCAATGTCATTACACTTGTTGATTGTATCAAAGAGCAAAGAAGCATCCCCCACATTGAAGAGGGTGGCTAGACAGCGGCCAATTAATTTTCGCGAGGGTGGACCAGGAGATTCATTGACCTGTTTCATCAACTGCTCCACCAGCTTCTTTTGGCACCCTTTGATATCCGACTAATGCAGAGGAGAGAAATATATTAGGATTGGACAACCTATTTCTTCCAGGGCATCGGAAGAAATTGAAAATGACATTTATCTAATATTTAAGAATACCACAAATTTAATCGAACTTAATACAGCAGAAAGTTTAAATTTTTCCAATTGATAAAAAATAGACAGAAAAAAGTTTCTTTTGTTAAAAATTTACTTTACTAGAATTTTTTACAATAATGCTTTTAAAAAAATAAGATATGGCAGGGTTCCCGCTCAATTTAAGAAAAAAAAAATCCCGACTTTTCCAGGTATACCAGATAAATTTCAACAAAAATTGAGACCCTGTTTTCATCCGAAAAAATTTTATTCCTTTATTTGCAACATGAAATATTAAATTTTCTGTGTAAAAAGATATTATTAAATGAGGAAGGGAACATTTCAGTTTGAGTAAAATGTGAAATTTTTGTAACAAATAATTGTAATAGATGTTAGAATTATTTAATTTGAATCTCAATAACTAATTACTGTTACAGACAATTTTAAGACTGGTTATTTTCCAGGTATTATTTTCCAGGTTTTTGTAAAAAAATTGCAACATTCCCTGATTTTTGGAGTTAAAATAAAATTCCCTGGCAATTCCAGGTTTTCCCTGTTCTCCTAGACCTGTGGGAACCCTGCCTGGCATAGTCTAAAACCAAATACAAGAATTTAAGTAATAAAATCTGGGAAAATATTTTTAAAGAAAATATAATATAATATATATATATGGGTCATTCTCACAAAAACAGTCATTTTCATGTCCCCAGTATATTTTATGTTTGTTTTACAGCTTACGAAAAAAAAAATTCAGGGAAAGTGTCCTTCGGAATGCAAGCTAACAAAAGAATAAAAATAAAATTATCAATTTTTATTTTTTATTTATTTTAGGTAATTAAAATATACCAATATGTCATTCCCTCACTTGTCCCCACTGCTGATTTAAAAAAAGAAAAAAATTGTTTCTGAAATAAAA